CAGAGTGGCGGGCGAAAGTTAGTAATATTATAAAGAGGAAAGATTTGTATTTTTGTATGTATTGAAATAACTCCAAATCTACTGGACCGATTTCAAAAATTCTTTCAAATTTGGAAAGGTAATTTATCCGTAAGTAACAAAGGCTATGTTTTACATTATTTTTTTAACTTCACGCGGACAAAGCCGCGAGCAACAACTAGTTTTTTATAAATCAAGATTTTAGTTATTACAAACAAAAATACATACTTTGATGTTGAAGCCATTGATCCTCACATTTATGAAATATTTAATACGTTGCTGTTTATTTTAATTTTTAATATAAAACCCATTAAATGTAAATTTATTTTTGCAATATCTCAATCACAAATATAATGAATACCAGTTACGACAAGATGCCGACAAAAACTGAATTATCATTGGTTGATAATAAAAACGACCTTGTACTAAGCCGTGGCATTGAGATCTTGAATATTTACTTTGGTCTATGTCTATGATAACCGACAATTTTTTTTACTAATCGCTCCATAGATGGCGATTAAATCGATAATGTTACGAAAGAAAACGAAGGAAAACTCACTTAATTTTAAATATGTAAGTTTCAACTCGTAAATAATAATGAAATTTACTGTTTTTGAAATTAAATACATTACTATTCAAATTTAACAGCGGCTCGAGCGCTCGAAATGTACAAAAACAATTTTAGGTACCAGGTGAACATAAAGGGACACCATTGCACACTTTCGTCTACACGCAGTGTGACCATCTGGTGCTCTCCTATGAAGAAGGTTCGACACTGGCCCAATCCGCTAAGGGAGTGCCATAGAAAAAAACTGAACTGAAGTATGAAGAACGAAAAAAGGTATACTTGAAAAGTGAAAAAAAAAAACAATATATAACAAGTATTTATTTGATCATACAAAACTATAAATCATTTAAAATATGAAAACCGATATATAAAAGTTAATATAAATATAAAAATTTATACCTATAGCTATACAAAACACATACATGGTAAAATACATGTTTTAATTTATTTTATTTGCCAGCTTTCTGTTTCAATGCTTGTATGTACATTTCTAAACCTTGTTGTATTAAAGGATTTTTAAGGAAACCTAGGAATTCCTCGACATCTTGCTGTCTATTCTTCTGTAGTCTTGCTATAGGCGCTTGCCGCATCTTCTGTTTAGTGATAGCTCGTGCTAGAGGAGGGATTTTATCGAATTTCTTAATAAATTGCTTACATTTCTCGATAGCATCTGCTTTATCTGTTGCCGCTTCATCTATGAGACCAACCTGAATACCAAACATGATAAAAACTATTAAAACAGGTTTTTATTTCTCTGCTATGTGAGGCTAAGGTAACAATTATCCCATTATTGAGTGTTGCCATTTTGTAAGTACCTTTATTAACAACTAGCTTCGCCAGCGACTCCATCCGCGTGGAATTAAAAAAAAATCAAAAGTAAGTAGCCTATGTGTTATTTCAGACTATCATCTACATCTACACCAAGTTTCTTCAAAATCCGCTCAGCGTTTAGACTACAAACTCTAACAAACAACCATCCACCTTTATAAACTTTCACATTTACAATATTAGTAAGTATAAGTATGATTTTTTCAATAAATATAGTAATACATAATAAGTATATATATATAATATATAATAAGTATATTTCAATATATACTTAAAACTTAAATATTGCAGTATTTCTATGCAATTAAAACAATTTTGAACCACCAAGGTATTTAAAATGACATATAAAACAGACAAGACTGACCTTAAGTGCTTCTTCCACTGAGAACATTCTAGCAGTAGTTAATGCATATTCCGCTTGCCTTATTGGTATAGTATGACACATTGTATCCATAAACCAAGTAGGAGCTACAATACCTAGGGCTGTTTCATTCAAACCTATGGCGTATTTCCCACTCACCATAGCCCTGTATTCACAAGACATTGATAACAAACACCCGCCAGCGGGTGCATGACCCTACAAAAAAGGACCTCCAGTTAAACAAAAATAAGGGAGAACCTCAGACTAAAAACTGCAACCTGTACCATTATAGTTAACATTGGATAATCACTTTCTTGAATTTTTTATTAGCATAGACAGGACTAAACCAAAGAAAATAATTGGTCTTTTGTCATTATGTTGTTTTAACACAACAAGTTGTAATTCTCTTACCAATAAAATATTTGTATTTGTATTTTTAAGTGGCGATTGTAAACTGACTCTTCAATGCTGATCACTTATTACAGTCAATATACCACTGTAGAAAATGTGAATGAGATAGTAGTTTTATGCTAATTAGCTATGTAATTTGATGTTTTTATAGTTTTTTCTATGACGGATTAACATCAATGAATAAATTATAATTTAAAATATTTAATTTATTAGAATTACATGAATTTTCCCATAATTAGGTAAGTGTACATAAAAACTTTCTTTTTTGTAGTTTTACACACACTTAAGTTAGTTTTATAGCAACATTTTAATAACTCATAGTATGGAATTATGAACTACTAGCTGTTGCCCGCGACTCTGTCTGCATTAAATATAAAAAAAAACAAAAGTGAGTTGTCTATGTGTTCTTCCAGAATATCCCCTACATCTGTACCAAATTTCATTAAAATCTGTTAAGGCGTTTAGGCAACAAACTCTAACAAACATCCATCCATCCATCTAAACTTTCGCATTTATGATATTTATAAGATTTTCATACTAACTTACATTAATAGCAGCGGCAGTAATAAAGTTGGAGCCAAATAATTTTAACCAGACATCTTGGAGTGTTGTCCAAAACAGTTCTGCTCTTTTTAAATCCGGTTTATACATTTCCATTATGTCTAAACCGGCTGAAAAGACTGTAGGTGAAGACTGAAAATTATATCAATTTAAATATAAAAAATATACATTTTATTTTACTATGATTTTGGGGATAGGATGTACAAGTAGTAAGTTTCCACTTTCTGTCCATACTTTTCTCTGTTAATGTAGTAAACCAATGTTTTTGCAAATGTGAATGTCCATGGGTAGCGGTCGATTCTTTTTATAGGCGTATTTTGTACAAACTTAAAATCATGCAAATTTTTTTTTAAATACTGTTATTTATTACTTACAGAGGTAAGGATCATTGCCTTTGTTTTGTTTTTTGCTACTTCATCAAGTGATTTATTAATGTCTTGTAGTAGTTCTAAATTTAAACTATTTACAGGTGGCCTGTTCATAGTTAAGACAGCTATCCCATCTTTATCAATTGATAAATCAACCAAGGGTCCACTTTGTGATGCCATAGCCCTTACGTTAGGGACCAATACTTTGGCTGTGTTTACTAAATGTCTTGAAAAAAGCATCCTATAAAAATAAATGATAATTATTATCAATAACATGCCTTTTTTACTAATTTGATATTAAAAATTATTTTCTTATTAGATTTATAATTTTATTAACATAAAGACTTTTAAAGTTTTTATATTGATTTTTTTGTAAAACAATACAATTTATTTTTAAATAAAAAAAAATTAAACAATAATAGCATTTTGAGAAAGACTATATAGGTTCCCGTTGCATTTTTAGGTCGAATTAATGAGTAAAATTAATGAAACTGTAAACAATAATAGGGTGACTACGAGGAAAACCTACACCAAGATATTAATTTAATCTATGAAAAAAGTTAAAGTTTTAGTACCTGAAAACTTTCTTTTACCCTTTGTACCTTGACAGTTTATAAGTTTTCTTGTCGAGATAGTATAGCAACAGGAAATAGCAATAGATAATGATAGGAAGTGTTAATTCGTGTTGAAATAGCGACTTCAAGCGTCAAAGTAAAACGAACAAAAATGTTTCATCGACGTTTTTCTCATAATCAAACTTTATCTCCTAAGCAATAGCACATTGGCATCGATAATTGTTGTAATTCTCAATCTTATCAGTTAAAATTAAAGTTAATGGAAACGAGTTTCTGACATCTGATATTACCTACCAATTACTTGCGAATTGACTGGTCACACTGAATTTTAATTTGACATTACACGGACGTCAACGTCAACTTTGATACCAATGCTTTGAATAATAAAAAGTTAAAATATAAATATGATCTTCACAGGTGTATAATTTATTAGAGTTAGTTGAACGAGTGCTTTTTGAATAAATCTTTCATTAAAATGTCACTAGAACAAACAGCTTGCGATGGTAAGTGGGATTCGTAAATGTAATTATAAATGTTATCTTTATCAGTTCGTATTAAATCAAGCTATAGATCTATATTAATTGTTATTCTAGGCTTTATATATTTAATTGTCTTGGTTCTGTAATAACTTAAATTTGTTTGTAATTTTCTATACGGATATTACTAACACCTACATTCACATAAATGATTGATGTGTTAGATGCTCTTACAGACTTGAAGGCTTTCGAACGTCGCCTTACAGAAGTTATAGCATGTCTCCAGCCTGCTACAATGAGATGGAGAAGTAAGTAACCTATGTAACACCATTTTCTTTTGGTAATTTGTCCAAAAACATTATTTAAAGTCACTTAATAATATTAACTCTATAACTATTTTATTAAATTATTTCTAAGAACATTCATACAGCGAGAATATCTCAAATAAATTATAATTTTAAATACTCACCAAATAGATGTATAGTTTAAAATATGCACATATAAGTTTATGTGTAAGTTGTACGTTAGTTCACATTCAAATGAACACTTTCAATAGACAATGGTTCATATAACCTTGTGTATTTTTTTAAACAATTAATTATAGTTGTCTTACAATAAAGCTGACTTTGAAGTTACATTACTGTTAATTTTAATGTTGAAACAGACAAAAAAATTTGTTTCCTTGCTCATTTTTCCTGCAAAAAGCCGAGATAGCTACAACAAACCGCTTTTTTATCTGTACTAACATTATAAAGAGGAAAGATTTGTATTTTTGTATGTATTGAAATACCTCAAAAAGTACTGGGCAGTTTTAAAAATTCTTTTACCGCTAGAAAGGTAATTTATTTGTGAGTGACGTAGGCTATATATTTTTTTTTAATTTCACACAGACGAAGTCGTGACCAACAGCAAGTCTATACTATTGTAAAGAGAAAATATTTATATTTTTGTATGTACTGGGATAATTCAAAAACCACTGGGCTGATTTCAAAAATTCTTACACTATTAAACAACTATGTTATCAGTGACTCACATAGGGTATGTTTATATACAATTTTTTTTTACTTCGTTTCAGTTTTGTTAGCGGTGGTGTCAATTTGCACAGCAATAGCGGCGTGGCACTGGTTGACAGATCCACTAACACCAGTGGTATCTCTTACACAGTCGCTGTGGAATCATCCCTTCTTTGCATTTACTTCTACTTTCTTAGGTGATTATTTTCTGATGTTTATAATTGTACTTTCATTAAATTGTAGAGTAACTATAAATAGGAGCATAAATGGGCAATGTAATGATTTTCATTTAGTAAACCCCAATAAATTCCAACTTGACATAAACTTAAAATTTCATTGTTGGTAACACCAATCAGTACCAACCTCAGGGAAAAATAATCTCTATATAAAAATGCTTTTTTTTTAAATCTAGAGAATGCACTTGACAAAAAACCATCACCAGTTTACAATTGTCTCAAATATGTTTAAGTTTTAAATTTAATTTGCTCTTTTTTCAGTAGTGACTAATGCATTAAAATTTAACATGCCATTTCCACTAACATTGTATTGATATTTGTTTACAAAATCTAGTTCAATTGGAATACTTTTTTTTAATTTATTTTGTCATAGTTTCAGTATTTTTCTGTTTATTTTTCAGTACTGCTGTTCATGCTGGGCGTGCATAGGAAGGTGATAGCGCCAAGTATAATAACTGCTCGTACTCGCTCCGTTTTGAATGACTTTAATATGTCCTGCGATGAAACTGGGAAATTAATTCTAAAGCCGAGACCAGCTAATAATTGACCAGCAAGCATATCAACTTTTGTAAATATTATATAAGTATTAAATGTTTTGTAAATTTATTTAATAAATAAAACACAATTTATTAGAGATACTAAAGTTTTATTATTTTATAACTTTGGTGTATTTATTATAAACAATAAATAAATGACTACATAATAGGTCAGTTGCATGACCCATAACTGAAGATGCTAAATATTGGTAAATTATACAGGTTTAATATTTTCTATAGGAAGTATTTTTTTTTAATTAAAAAAGTACACAATTTTACTATAATACTTCTTAGTATACACTAAGGATAATATTTTAAATGTATACAAATGCAATATGTTTTAAATAAGCTAATAACTAAATTTGGCTGTTAGATGGCGCTGATATCAACTGTAGGGTTCAAACAAGAATTACTTTTATAATACCTGATTAATAAAAAAAAAATCCTGAATTAGATCTCTATTATGACTGATGGAAATCCTTTTTTTTTAAATCATATTATCCCAAGTGTGTACTTTAGTATATTTAACATAATAAAGACTGAAAATTAATATAATAATTGTGCTTTTAACTAACATTGACTACATGTAACTTTCGCCTAAATAGCTACAATTATAAAGCCAAATTTCTAGTGTATTTTATCACTTTCGTCCATTTAAACATAATTTTAGACTCGGCTTGGAGTGTTTAATCCAAATACCAGGACAATAGTAAAACATTATTTTTTTAATGTTGTTTATAAAAATAGACATGTCTTTGGGCAGTGTTGGGTTTCGGCTTTAATTTTTACAATTCATTATTTATATTTAATTTCTATAACGAGGATGGCAACACTGAAATATTCCATTCACGACGTTCCGTTTTACCTATGCGTTTAACAAATTCTTCAATTCTTTGACCTTAAACTATTAAAGATAATTGGATTTTAAACGTTTATATTAATGTTGATATTTTTTGCATGCAATGGAATATTCCGTAGCTGTCAAAATCATTACATTAATACGAGTATAACCTAATCGTATGTAAATGCAACATGGAGAATTAGTAGAGATTGACCTTGAAAACAACAGCCATTGTTAAAAATATGAAGATACGTCAACAAGATTAAAATTACCTAATCTATAAATAACCTATAATTTTGTGCCAACTGTGCAATCAATACATTTCCTAAATATACTAAATTTACTAAAATATGAATACATTAAGATCTAAGCGCTAAGGATTCATTGTGCAGAAGTGTACAACGACAATAAAATTAGAATATTTTATAGGAGAAATAGTATTATAAATTAATTTAATAACTTTTTCGAAACTTCTAGAACTGGACAGATGATAAAGGAACAAAAATCTCTTAATTTTGTAAAATATTCAATCTGTAGTTAATAATTTTTCAAAAAATGGAAGACAACTAAAAATGTAATAAATTAAAACAGTTCACAATTTCATATAATTAAACATTATGTTTGTGCGCATATAGCGGCTGTTCATTCTAAGTTAACCACTAAGTTATTAAGTTACTTCAATATCAGATAACTAATAACATCTATCAATGCTTATAACTTTTAAATAGTAATAAACAGATATATAAAATTCCATTAAAAATCACAATAACTTGAAGGCAGTACAACATGCACAAATATAAATGTAACATCGATATTAAATGTATGGAAATTAGTTTATTAAATCTTACATTTAATTTGGTATATAAGCCTCATATTCCAAAAAAAAAACACCTTTATTTAATTTTATGATTATCAAAAATCATCTTTTTTAACATATTTGAAACGATATTGGTACTAAAGTTTAGATTTATTTCGAATAACCCTCAATAAGACAATAGGTAATATGCATATGACGCCAAATTGTACCAAACTTTTTTTAAGTATACTTTATTACTATAAAAACATTCCTGCAAAGATTTTTTCAAATATAATGTGTATTACTGTACCAGGTATAATAAAAATGAATCGATTTTTGACTTTTTGACCTTGAGATACTTTGTTGATTTTTACAAGTGAAAACTGAGCGTATGTTATGAATGAAATAAGACGATTGACGTCAATTGTCTTATGTCAACTCTGGTTGCGTTTTAGTCGCTCTAAAATGGTCGTAATTTCATTTTATTATTTTTAGCTCAATGGTTAAATATTTTCGCGTCAATTTTTTTTCTGGTTATTTTATAACAAGTAGAATCGTTTAAAAAAAGAAAAAATACATGCATATTCCCTATTGAATTAACTGTAATATTTGTATATGACCAACCTTAAATTTTTTTTAATCAAGGATTCCAAAGTTAAATACGAACGTGAATATAGATTATAAAGTGTCAAATACAACAATAAGTGCAAATTAATCAAGATAAGGCAGAATAATCTCGTACTTATATTTCTAACTAACAACAAACTTCTGTTACATCTTAACCAAGACTCGTCAGAAGTATTATAGTTATTTATCTCGATAATAGTTAATAATACTTATTATATATTTCTTAATAGTCTTAGGATTTTATAGGTTAACACTAGCTTATTACTTGCTTTGACTCGATTATGGTTGAGTTTCCATACATGCAGTAACCTTGCACACGAGTGGGGGTAAGGGATAGATTTCTCACAAAACAAATGCAGGGAAAAGATGCTTTTAAAGCGATTTCGTATTATAAATATAATCTATATTTGTTAGTTCATAATTTATATAACTTTTTTTAAATATATTTTAGTTTTGCTATTTATAGTTAACACAATGTAAGTTACGACTTATTTCCAAAAACATTAAAATCCTCATAAATATGTTTTAAATTTACATTTCTTGAAACATTTAATATAAATAATAAATGTGTGTTTCTGAGGATCATATGGTGTTCCAAAAATGCTTATCATCACCTTTGATAATTTTTTAAATCTGTTTTTTTTTTTAAATGATATATTGTCCGTTTTAACATTAATAATTTATACAAGTGTGTAAACTTACATTGTGCTATATTGTTACAATGAATTCTATCAATCTCACAAAATCTCTTATACAATACACTCGATGGTTAAAATGGAACTTAGTTCTCCCTAAATTTTCCACTGGGACTTGTATTAAAAATTATTGTCTCAAAGGAGTAGATGACAATATGTCGCCAGTGGAAACCGACATTAAAATCTGGGAGTAAATGTAGATTATATTTCTTTTGATAGGATATTTGTGTTAATGATGTTTTTAATTTCTAATCTTATTTCTATAGCTAATTTAACTAAGCGTCTGTTTATTGTAGACCAAAGATGGACGCATTATCGGGAGATTTAAAAAATGTATCATCTCTTTTTATCTCTCTAAAATGAGACATATAAATTTATATAAATACTTTTGGCAGTTCAAATTCTTTACGGGATCACTTTGTCTTTTTTTATCCTAATTTAAAAAAAATTATAAATATCTGAAGTCCTGTTAAATTTTATCCACATACATTATTCGCCGCATTTATTTAATTTTAGGTATCGTAGAAATTCGAATCATTTCAGTTTTTAAAAATATTTTCGTTACATCTGTTATTTCAAAAGCAGAGTAACCCATACGCTGTCTAAAGAAAGGCTTAGTTATTTGATCTACAATAAACAGGCTCTAAGAGCAACGTAAAACGGCCACGAGAAATCCCCACAGGTTATTGTATCAGTCCCCACAGCAACATGCAAGGCTTGAATGGTGTCCTCACGCCGCTAGCAGAGCTCTGATATTCTTCGGCGTCGACTGATGGTTGAGATGCTTAGTGGTGTACCGGAGTGCATTCAACAAAGGCTCAGCTTTCGCTGGTGGTTGCTGCTGAAGGAATTTCACGCAACCCTTGACGTCAACGGATGACGAGCGACAGAAAGCTCCAGAAGGATGCACCCAATCGTACAGTATTATAAGACCTACCATAACACGTAGGACGAGTAGAGATGTCTCTTCTCGGCTGAATTGTGCGACCAGTTTCCTGAAAATGAGAATACAGATTTTAAGTACATTAAACAATGCAATGGGGATGTTTCCTAATTTTTGGAATAGCCTTTATTTTGTAGATAAACCATGTATGAACACGAAAAAAATAGTATTAAATATAATACTCATTATTTCAATAAAAAAACACGTAAATAAAAACAACTCTTTCATTTCCCCCCAAAACGTCCCATGACGTCACTTCTTTGCATACGAACCTCGCGTCACAGCCTGTCACTGTCAATTTGAAAGAACCATTGATTGATAATACTCGTAAATCTTTGTTGTCTAAAGTTGTTTTTAGTAATGGAGATAAAAATGAAAAAACCAAAATGAACAGAAGGTGATACTTTTAACGTATTAATTACACTTGTTGCTTCTCGTGGAAGATTCTGTTTGTGTGTAAACAGTGACTGCGTCCTACACCAGTGTGACCAGGTATAAATTAAATTGTACTATAAGCTACTCTTATGAATTTTGATATATTTTTCTTTTGTAATATTCATAAAATGTTTTGCTCATAACTTATGTCGTAATTATAAAAACACTCAATAATGGAGTCCTCATAATATAAAACACGCAAACTCAATTATTACAATCATTTAGAAAAAAATATAACTACAAAATGCATTGACATTCACTGAAGTTGGTCACACTGCCATGTCATATGCAAGAAAGTGACGTCATTGGTGTTTGAGATCGAGTAATGGAGGGTAAAAAATATTGCAGCGTTTTTGATTTATATTTAATTTGAGACAAACATTCAAGGTCTCTAAATGTTATTATAGGTTATAAAATGCTGTCTTTAAAATATTAAACATAACTTTATTTGGATTTGAAACATTAGGAAACATCCCCATTGTTGCAAGTGTTGTTTTCAGCTCAGTAAATTGTCCAATCACTATTTATTGTCTAGTTCTAAATACGCCCTTTATTAGAATATTTGAAAAGAAAGTACCAGGTTAACATGACATCATAAGTAGATTTTGTGTAATAGAGTTAATTTGAAAATGTCTTCTATACTCGTTTGATTCCTCTCTCTTATAAGATGTAATTCATTTCATTGTCCTCATCCTATTCCTGTCGAGTCAATCAGGATTTCGTTCTCTATGTTTATCTTCCGTCATCTCAGTCATTACTCCCTTGGATCATGTTTACTCGACTTGACAACATGAAATTATGAATATAAGTTTAGATAACTTCTTGGAAACTAAGCTAGTGTTACTTTTTTACACTATTATTTTAACATCAACAATGCATAGCTTTACCAACTTGGCTTTGTTTGCTTGAAATCGTCAATTCCGTTTGTATGCGACTCACGGTTTTGTATACAGTTACAAATTCACGGAATACGCAATAGGTCACTATATATTTAGGTACGTTGACACACTTCTCCTAACCCTAATCAAGTTTCCATATCGCTTCCGTTTTAAATTCCGTTGATATAAAGAAATTATAATTCACGCAATGTTCATAAAGATAAAAATACATGGAATATTATGGTGAAAAAAAAAATACAAATCCGATATAATATTTATAAGCAAATGATGATTTGGTGCAATTTTTTTATCGATTATTGAGATAAATTTTATAAGTCTGGATTTTTTTACTGCACTGTTTCTATAAAAAGGTGAGGCTAGTCACTTTCTTTGCTGCAAATAAAACATATTCGTCTAGTAACGTTATAAAAGGCATCCTGCATATTGTTAGTGGGAACGCGGAAGTTTTAGGTAGTCTATGTTATGTTTGGCCAAACATCGAGCGAGATTTATGGCACAATAAAACTGGTGTACACACGGATGTATATTCGGGTCGCCATCCCGGCAGGGTAGCCATGTCGGCCTAAAAAATACGGAACATTTAGGTTAATTCCGAAACTACTGTTTGAACATGACAAAACTAAGATTGTCTATATTTTTCAGGGCATCTATGTGAAACTTGCATTGCGATGTTTGATATTTGGTGGGTTGTAAATTTAATTCTTTGACTGCAATTTATTTTGCCCTTTAGTCTTATAGCTGTCTGTCGCTTTATAATTCTATATTGTTCTATACTTTGTTAGCAAATATATAGTCGTGTCGATAGTTACATCATTTGGTTTCATAAACTTTACCGAATACGATACCGAGGAATATAAACACATTTTATCAGGTTTCAATTTTCATGCACAAAGATAAGAGAACATTTTATAATAACATCTCGCTCGTAAAGTTTTTATCTGTAAAACATTTTCAAACGCTATGTGAATCATAAAAGTGTATCTTTATGTTGCAGGTTTCCTAAAAATACCACAAACCTATATTAATGTCGTCTTACTAATACTTATGAACGCGAAATTTTAAATGGATGGATGTTTATTACTATGTGTTTCTAAAACAGCTTAACTTATATTAAGTATTATACTTATATTTTTTATTCTATTAAGTAGTAAGTAGCTTATATGTTCTTCTAGTCTGTTCTACATCTGTGCTAAATATTAACGAGTTCAGTAATATACTTATGTTTTCTATTCTCCACGGACGAAGTCACGGGCAAAACCTAGTACATCTATAAATAAAAAACTTTTAAATATGTATTCCTTATCTAATAGATAGATACTGTGTATGGTAAAACTTTAGTAGGATGTTCAGAACTGCTGATGGCAGAAATATGAAAATTTTTATATTTGTCCACGTCCTTTGGTTACTGGATGAAAAATCCTTATTACTTTGAGAATAAGACTCATATTCCTTGTTGTTAATTGAAATCCTACATATAACATAAATAACACGGGTCAAATGAATCACACGATACGAGTGGCATCAAATTGAGTAAGCGATCTCCTTGTCCTATATAAATATTATTGAATAATGTTGAATGTCCGTGTGACTGGACTGTATTTTTGTCAAATAAACATAATTTACTTGACAACGTATTTTTATATTTAAACTTATGTTACGTCAAAATAACTGCACACAAAATAATGAAAAGTTTGTGAATCACTGATAAAATATACGATTTCGTTGAAAAAGATTAAGATTTGGCAAATTTCTTTTTGATCAGTCATTGCCATTTTGAAAACACATTGCCAAAAACGTTCGTATCCCGCAAGGCGAGGCTATCAACAAATCGATTTTCTGTCGCAGCGTAATTGCTCACGTTTCCACTTCCTGCCCTGTGTAAATCCTCGTGCTTTATAGTATTCTAAAACTTTCCTATCGTGTAAACATCCGCAATCATACTTCATACTAAAATTATAAATGCGAAAGTTTAGATGGATGGATGTTTGTTAGAGTTTGTAGCCTAAACTCCTGAACGGATTTCGATGAAATTACGTACAGATGTAGAGGATAGTATGTGAGAACACATAAACTACTAAATTCAGTTTTTTTTATTTCCACGCGGACGGAGTCGCGGGCGAAAGCTAGTATTTAAATGAAAGTTAAAGTTGACATGTCAAAGCAAATCAAAAACTACTTGGGTATGTGTAATTTACCAAAGTCAAGGAATTATTACGTAACCAAATATGAAGTCGTTCGCAACAGCTGGTGAATACTGAATTATCGAATTATTATCTAATAAATTTAGTTTAATATAGTGAATAAATAATGTATCATTCATATGTTTTATCAAAAAGCAGAATATATCCGTCATTTTGCCTGTACATATTCACGGTAATAGATAAGCACATTTCTTAAAAAAACGATTACATTTACCATTTTTGCGTCATCAATTCAGTGTAACAGCACCCTAAGTGGAGGCCATTTTTTATCAATTCCCGACTCCTTTGATTCAGTAATACGTTTCATTTAGAATGGCGGTCGTTGTCATTCGAGGCGCACGATCCATTGTCACTTTCAATGTTGGAGCGAACGGCTCGTGTATCATCGAACGGCTTGATAAGGAAGTCGCGGACGTCAATACACGGTGACCACGCTTGTCATTTTGTGCGGAACAAAATTGCGAATTTGTAGCTATAAGTTGATCCGAATACTGTTAACATCTTTAGTTTCATTGTAGTGATGTACCTCAAAAGTTCCGAATCGTCGAGTACGGTTATGTCCTACGCATTAGTGAATGGTCATTTAACATTTCAGATAGGTTTAAATCTAGATAGGATATAATCATAGTAACATAAATAAATATAGTTAAACAATAGACATTCGATCTTAAAGTAAGAATTAACTAAGGTCTGGTTTTCTTTTTGAACACACAATATGGTGAATTAAATTATCTTTACAGTTAGTAGATCTCTATTATATTATTTACATACGACTGTCGTTTCAAAGTAATATCAAAACTTGCAAGATATTTTATCGACGGTAATATTGAAATTCTGCATCTAAGTCTGGGAGACGTGGTTAGAATTTTAATACAATCTGTCCGTATAGAGCTAGGGGTATGCGGAATGTATGGCCGGTGTCGACTGACTACGTGTACACAAAATTGCGAACATAACGCTTGTTAGTTCATAATTTGTTTCCTTGACAATCGGTGATTAGAATAGTAATAAAATTAATATATCGCACTCAGAGTCTATTAGCAGCCCTTAATCTTTTATTTAAAAACAGTATAAGAGCTTCTTAATTCGTCTGTATAATGTTTATTTGTGCTGAAATGTTTTCATGAGTCAGAATTTGCGGTTGCATATGATCCGAGTGTAACAAATACGCCCTTGTCTACGACACAATAGGGAGGCCATTCTTTGACGACATTGAACTGAACTAGTTGTAGCATGATTCTGCGACATATTCTTAGACAATGAGTAAAAGGATAAGGCGTTTAAGAGTGTTTGTTTCATAATGAATTACGGTTGACGTCCCACTTTATATTACTGTGATGAAGACGATCGTGTGTTGCAGACTTATCTGGCTCAATGGAAATATGAACTAAAGTAACTCATTTGCCCTTGTCAATGTTATAACACTGCCACAAGAACTGGTTGGACTGTATTGTAGCTGTCTTGTTAGGTTTGGTCATCCTACTAATATTATAAATGCGAAAGTTTTGATGGATGTATGAATTTTTGTTAGAGTTTGTAGCCTAAACGGCTGACATATCTCGATGAAATATGGCATAAACGTAGAGGATAGTCTGGAAGAACACATAGGCTACTCATTTTTTTTTATTTTAACGCGGTCGGAGTCGCGGGAGCAAGATAGTTTGTTCATAATCTATTGATTGAAAAAAATCTTTTTATCTCACACCTTCTCATTCTTTACGGCATACTTTTTTTCTGAAATGTAATTTATTAACCTTGAATTTTTTGCCACCTGATTTCCACACTATTTTAGACCAATTTTTTTTTTATTTTATAGTGTAATAACAATTAAATAATCTTTTTTATCGACCGAGTAAATGCTACGTAAAAAATGTTTAAAAAAAAATTAGATCAGTAGCGATGTAAAAAATATATACGCATTGTCTACCGCATTGTACACGCAACGCTGTATTCATGAAACGAGTTTCGGCTGAAAATGTTGCAAGTTTTTTTAGTGTACGAATGGTATTTATTACCTTAAAAGCCATTGCGAAAATTCAATAATAATCTTACTATTAATATAAATGCGAAAGTTTAGATGTTTGGATGGATGGATGTTTGTGAGTTTTTGTAGCCTAAGCGGCTGAACGGAGCTCGATGAAATTTGGTGTATACGTAAAGGATAGTCTAAAAGAACACATAAGCTACTCACTTTTGTTTTTCTTTTAATTTCACGCGGACGGCGTCGCGGGCGAAAGCTAGTGCGTTTTATTTGCTGATTTAAGTCTGTTTACCCTTTTATTAATATTGATGAATAATTTGTATAAGCGAAAGAGTTAAGTAAAAAAAACCTTTCAGATTTATTATGCTATTTATAATGTTGTAACTTATAATTTAAATATTTATTATAACAAGACTTGTTAATTCTGATCGCGTCGTCTTGAGATCGAGGCACGTTCGGGAGATCCCGGACGACGTGATAAACATCGTTCACGCTCCCGTCAACAATTTACAGAGCAAATTAAACCTATGTATAATACATCTTAAAATATATTCTATTAAAGTAGCTTTCACGTGATAAATGATGTTTTGCAAAATTATCAAAAAGGTGACATAAAAAAGGAGTTATATTACGTTGATATTAAACTAATTTTACAGATCACAAGGCAGATTATTTTTTTTAAGATGAACTGAACTTTTTACACAAATTTTATAGTACTACTGTTGAAAGCGACTTCGCACCCGTTAAAAAAAATTGCCTATGTTACTCACATATAAAACCTTTCTAACAATGAAAGAATTATTATAATCGACCCTGTAATTTTTGAGTTATTGCAACACATACAAAAATATAAATCTTTCCCCTTTATAACATTAAGTATAGATTTAGAGCGAAATATTAATAAGGTTCAAAAAAAACTGATGATAACCTTGGTGCTCGTTTTATATGGGCCAAGTTATATCTGTTACGAAGTGGGTATCTCTAATTTATGCATCCGCAACGCACAGAGCATTCGAACTAGTTTCTTGAAAGTTTTATTCACGCAATAAAAATATCAATTACTAAATGTAAAGTAAACTAGAAATTCTTAATGTTGAAAAAGGAGCTTCCAAGATCGATTTGAACAACGAGTTATGAAACCGAAAAGTCCCCGACAGATAAGATAAAAATTAAACATCAGTTTCACTGCAGAAAGACTCCTGTAAAATACATATTGTTATGTTCTAGAGGGACAATAGATACCTATCCTAGGAAATTAGCTAATACGTTTTGGAACAATTAGATTAAAATGTTGATTCAAAAGCAGCCAATGTTTAATTAGGAGTTTACAACTTCATACCAACATTCTGCAGTTTCCATGTAGATTGTAGACTCGGTGAATGATAAAACAAGAAGTTTGTAATTCATGTTTGAAGTATGTGTTTGTTCGTGAATTAATTGCAATTGTTAGGGAGCTTTCGAGCGCACGTAAACTCGGCTTAAAATGTTGAACACGAAAAACGAAATTCACTTTTTGATTGGAAAGCAATGATGGCTTTCACATAGTTTATTTTTTTTAGAATAAGTAATTGATTCAATCAAAATAAAGTGACATTCTTTTAACAACATTTGCTACTATTTCATTAATCTATATATCTATTTCTATATCTATCTATATATGTCTAAAATTGAAGTGTCTGTTTGTAAAAGCAAAAGAAAAATTTAAGATTTCGGGAAGATGATGTATTTGCGTTGCTGATAAAGAAAATCGCATTATTTTTTTTGTCTGTCTGTTTGTCCGCAAGCCGCGTTTGTTCCGGGCTATTTCGACCGGACTTTCACTGAAGGGTAGCTGACATAGACGGGCATATTACATGCTATTTTTTATCTATGCTCTATTTACAGGATTTTTTATCTTAACATTGCATGGACGAAGTCGTGGACAACAGCTAGTCTATTAGTAAAAAGCGCATACGATTTCGATACGTCATACAGGGCAACAATATGTAAGATTACTGGAAAAAATGCAATAATTGTAGCAGCTGTCTTCTATAATTACAGTAAACAAGAGAATGACATCATCGCAAAGAGTCATAAGGCAAATTGTAAGATTGTTTACAATGCAAATGCATAAAACATTTTAAACTAAATAGGAAAAAGCCCTTTACAGAAGATCTTTACGTATTGATGCGATTTTCTAACAAAGCAAAGGAGAACAAGCACACAATGGTTTTACGTTATTTTAGTTACTAAACTTAACTAATTAAGCTTGTCTCCAAACTTTCATCAGCTTGCGACAACATCGATCACAAGTTTCCTAAATTACTTAAGCTATAACATGTTAACTTAAATACTTACGGATTCTCCAGCATCCTCAAGCAGACCTTAGCCATTGTACTTAGTGTTTCGGTCGTGTTCTCCAAATCTTGTTGGTTGTCGTTCACAAACTGGCTGGTCGCTTCTGAGAGTACTTTGAGCATTGGTGTGGCTTGTGCGTAGAAGAGAGACATTCTGTTGGCCACTTCAGCGCCTATGTGCGGCTCTTCGTCAGGAGGTAATTCTGAATTGATAAGACCTCCTCTGGATACGCTACGTCGATAGTAACTGAAGTCGTTTTGAATTGCCGGCGTTTTCATCTGTTAACATATTAATGAGTGGTGAATACATTTTATTGAATGCACAGTAAAGACGTTAGTTTCTCAGATAGTTGATCTTCCATCTCGTTGCTTAATTATAAAGATTGATAGGTCCATAATAATTATTATGTTACTTGCATTGTTTCATAATTAATACATTTATAATAATAGGTATTAATTTTTCCCTATTGTGCAATGGTTAACTGCTTTTCCACGTATGATTCAAGGTTTTGACATCAAGCTCAATGCTCGATTCAATTGTTAATTTTGCAATACCAATATATTGCAAAGGTTAGTTAAATATACCTCTTAAAAAGAATGCAACTGCATTGGAACACTTTTAACAATACATGTATTTAATGTATTGGGACCCTATTTTTTACTAAGCTTCAAATTTTTTACAAAACGGGACTCATGTTAACATTCTCTAAAAGACAAGAACGGAAAAGCTATAAGAAACATTTAACGAAACGCAATAATACACGAATTTGTTTATAAAATGACAGGATGGTAAATTTAATTGTTGTGAAATGTCACCTATTGATATGCAGTGAATGTACAAACTTTAATTTTTACGGAATCTTACTAATATTATAAATGCGAAAGTTTAGATGGATGGATAGATGTTTGTTACAGTTTGTAGCCTAAACGGCTTAACGGATCTCGATGAAATTTGGCATAGGAGCAGAGGATAGTCTGGAAGAACACGTAGGCTACTCACTTTTGTCTTTTTTTAATTCCACGCGGACGGTCGCGGGCGAAAGCTAGTACTATATAATTGAAATGCGTATTCATCCATACTTTGAACAGAATAAACGTGAATCTATTTATCTGTAGACTTCACATTGCAATCGACAAATCGCTAATCGATCTGCCTTGTTAGTCTTTCCAATGACTAACAGATAGCAATCACTATGTACGCAAATAAATCAACAACAATTGTAAGCGTTATATAAATTATCGGCTTCCGTTTCATACGCACTTGATTGAAATGGATGATTGAAAATACGACATAACTTCGGATATTTAAATTGAATGATCGTCGGAAATCTATAGTACATATTATTGTTATTAATTTAATTAAGTATCGATAACTAGGAGTTAACAACAAAGTAATCATCTTGGCAGAAATATGGTACAGCATTTCTAGACCTCCAAACCTACACTCAAATTCAACATTAAAGTTTCACATAGCTGTAAATTAAATACATCATTATACAACAGCAAAGTATAAGCCAAGTGTCATTTTAAACTGGCTAATGCCCATGAATATTTTAAACTCATGTTGATGGCAAGTCATGTAATTTTAAAGTGCAATGACACGGTAAGGTTGAGGTCAAAAGTGCTTTCAATTGTCGATTAAATTACGTCCACTCTTTCAATTTCCTAGCGTATAAACTATCGTTGAAGTTTATTTGTACACCATTGTTTTCAATCAACGGAAACCGTATATTGTAAAATGAACTTTAATAGGCAAGCAAATACAATAAAATTGCTATAGACAACGGAATTTTCTAACATCCTGTATTAATTTTGTTGTATTCACTATTTGTAATTTAAGATGTTTACAATATTACAATATAAAAAAATGTAACTGAAGATTTTTTTCATTAAGCAATATACAAACAGCATGTGAGTCATTCATTGGTCCTTCGAGCATCAAAACTATGATGACGTTAGACGGTAGAAACGTGTTTAATTACCAAATAACCATTTGGCACGTAAATACAATTAGTAATTTGAAACGAAAGTGTTACGTTATTAAAATTATTGAAACAAACGTAAGTGCAAAAAATTATTTCAACTCACCTTGTGTTCGTCAAATTTGAGCACAAACTCAAGAATTTCTGCGAACTGTTTGACCAGTGCTTGTTGTTGTTCAAGATGTTGTGTAGGACTCATAGCTCCCCCCACTAAGGATCCTAGTAGACGGGGAACCACCTGTAACCAATGAAAATTATAATTAATATAATATCAGTGTATTCAGGTGTCCGCCTGCTCGTTTAACACCTTATAACATAAAAAAAATTAGAAGATATCTATCTAAAATACCAATAAACCCTTTGAAAGACTACATATTTAATTGCTATAATAAGTGGATCAAAATTTTAAAACACTTCTTTTGCTTTATAATCTGTTAATTTCTTCATATACATTTCAATACATTGCAACGTTAGAGGCGTGCGAAAATGTGATACTTTGTTTTGATGAATCATTACTCCATCAACATTGTACTTCAGAATCTGTTTAACGTCAATCGTAGTTCAAGATTTGTTTACTTGTATATCTACTGAGTGGCTTTAAGAATTATGAAGATCGGATTTATTATTTCTATATATTGCAATAGTTAGATAAAGGTTTGGAGGGCGACAAAGACGAAGCAACGCCTACATTTAGTAGACACAGTATTAATTAATGATTAGGGACTATTGGAGAAAAAAATCAAGGAACTAACAAATGAAGTGGTTGTCTATTGGCTCAAATAAAGTCATATCAATTAAATAAAGATTTTTTTTTTGAAGTTACATTTAAAACAGCAACGAATTTGGTAGAATGCCAAATAAAAATCATGTCAAGTTGTACGAGTGATTTTGAAACATAAATTAAGTAGCAGATTTCTGTGTTGATTCAACCAAGGAATGCAAGTACTGTATGCAAACAATGCACGGAAGCTATGAATTTAATACACTCTGCGGTAAGTAGTTTACACGAAGAAAATGTTTTCGTCAACAAACGTCCGACTTCCTACCATCTACTAGTTTTATATAGCAACTATTAAATGTTATTTGTAAAGTTAAATGCTTAAAAGCTTCTTAAAGCTTATGAACTATGCATCTATCTAGGTAAACAAGGATAGTGAATATCCGTTTACACTTATTAGAAGCAGATGAGACAGAAAGCTAATATGTAGTTTGGATTCAAACGCACAACCATGATAGCGTAACTGTGAAATCTAGGTTATCTAAAAATAGAGGCTTCGACCGTTAAAATTATTTAGAAATGATTTTGCCGTGTGTTTTCCTAGGTGCTGTGCGAAATTCGAAGAGACTTTAACCTAATATCATTCTTGGTTTGTTCTAGTCCTTTCATCATATTGTCTAATGGCAAACTGGAAAGCATAGATAAACGTAGAATGGGTGTTCTGTGAGTGAAGCTTCGGTACATAACCCTCAGCACGTGTTACTAAATCGTCGCTAGGTAACCCTGTGTCGCTCAGTTCATGCTTTACTGTGAGCAGTTCCGTTGCCTCGTTTGCATCAAAGTGCAATAACTAATAGGGTTGTCAACTCAATGCACAATGCATATTAAATTATTTCGAAACCTGTACCAACGTCACATAACTACAATTAAGTGGTAGAATCCATTCTCGCCGACACTGCGTATTCTATTACTCGTGTTTCTTTTGGAACCACTGAAGTCTATACGGCTTTAGAACATTTGAAAAATTGACAAACACTTTTGTGTACAAACCAAATTCGATCATTTGCAATGTTATTAATGAATCCTATGAATTTCCTTTTTTGTAAAAAAAATAATTTGGTACATTTTCTCTCCCTTGTGTTTTATTTGTTTTACTTCTATAGTTTACACACTACTAAAATAATTCAAATTTTTATTTATAAATAATTCTAACATTTAATTGATTAATTTATAACTACTTAAACACCGTTATTAAGTTATCAAGTTAATGTGTTTCTAGATACTTATTAAGTTTCAAGTTGGCGCATAGTATTAAATATTTAAGCACCGTGGTAAGTACAAGACGTCCAATAATAAATTTATAGTTACTAAAGTTAGTCAAGAATATTTTATCGCTCTCTTAAGTTACCGTATTAGTATAGAATTATCTAGAAATTGTTTGTTTAAAGATACACAATAAATGGATCTAAAGCATTTATTTGTAAGCTTTAGGTAAACATTTAACACCAAGTTTTTGATCATTTGATTACTATTCAGTTAGGTTTTAAAGCATTTTTTTAAATCAAATATATATCTTTTACTTACTTACTTTTCTGTTCCTCTCATTTTTTTGTCTCTTTTGCACTAAGATTTAAAGCGCTTTTAGATTACGGTCATCATTATGTCGTTACGTGGAAGGCAAAAATTTTAAGGTGCGGATGCCGGTGGGCATAATTAAGACTGGGATAAAAGTATTCGCAAAAAAATGATTGCGAGATGAAAGAAGTTTTTAATAACCTTTTTTACGATATATCTAAATGTAATACGAATTGTAATAACATATTATTAAAATGCTAATTAGACAATGATCTAATACTGAATCAGGTCTGAAAAATACTATATGGAAATAGCTTATTGCTGTACATTTGACTTGAAGCAATAAACATTACTAGATAGGGTTGTAATAACACGATATATGCTTTTACAACGACGAAACCAATTTAATAAACAGAAGTGATGTGGCAACCCTGCATTGTCTGGGTCCCCGCCCACCCTGTAAAGAGATACAGGCTTGAGTTTATAAGCGAACGCCTTGATTATGTTATGCATTTTGCAGAGCGTGGTTGTTGCTTGTGCATTGTTCGCTTCATAGTTCCGGAATTTATTGCATCTTTGTTATGCACTACCGTGTCCTACTTGTCCATTCGACTGGTAATAAAATTAAACTCTCACGATGTATGATGGACAGTAATAGATTAATCTGATTATTTCTCTTTTTTAATATTATCTTAGGTGGTTTATAAAAGCTTTGCAGGTTTACAACTACAACGATTATATTTACAAGCTACATTTGAGCGCCATTCTAGAGCTTTTCTCATACTATGATGTTAGGTGATCACCCTTAGTGGACAAGTGTGAGAAATAAATATTAAGTTATTCCCTAAGTTGTAACCTCTAAAATACAGACAGGAGTAAGACTACACGACAATGGAAATAGATATAGATAACAATCTATTCATTCGATAAGTTATTAATTGACTCAAATAAAATTATCGCAAATTAACACGAGGGGCGTGTAGCCAATAATTACTTGACATCTATATGTAAATTTTAAACAGTTTATGTCCGTGTGTAGTTAGTCTAACAACGCGTGTGGTTTCACGCTGTCTATCGTTTGAGATATTTTTATACTCTCAACGTGTTTTGTTGTCGTATTTAATTGTGATTCAGTCGTTGAGTCATTCGTTTCAGACTGTTATACCGCATGTAGGATAATTTGTTGCGATTTTGTTCGTATGATGTAATATGATTTGACCACATACATGTTTTTATGGTTTGGATGTTATATTTTTAATATTACAATAGATTTAGGTGTTAAAATGAGGATGATCATGATTATTTTCCTAATTTTTTCTTCCCCTCTCTTGTGTCATATAATTCGTATAACAAATCATTAGAAAACATATGAATTAAGTTACATTATAGTGTTTAAAACATAAACGGATTGGTACACTAGTCATGTTTAAAGATTACGGTCTACGTAAAACATATTTCAGCGGACAGTCCGAAGAACTCGATACAAAACTCAACAAGCGCTTATATTTTAGCAATCGCCATTCAATTGTTTTCGTTTAAGTACGGTACATGTAAAACAAACTGACGAACAATTATATACGCAAAGCATTGTACAACCTAGGCATCTATTTAATTTAGTAGGTTAACAATAACATTGAGTATTACAGGACGTTCCTCTATTGACAGGAATTGCGGGACAGCTTATATAAAACGAGTAGAATGTAATAAACGCTTCTAGACGATTATGACGCCAGCCATGAGCCGAGTAACTGCTCATTAAATTAGTGCCAGTTGTCGCCCAGTTGTGAGATTTGAGCAATAAATTAAGCCAGATGGTTGGTAATGTAGGCGTAATATATCTCAGGCCTCTATTGCTTGTACTCAAATATTCATACATCGTAGTAACATTAAGGTAATTTATATTTCTATCATATATTTACATTAACTCTATACGTTACAAAACACTGAACTTTCATTAAAATCTATGAAACTTAGAAGTTTTGAAGAGGTGTAGCACAAGAGAATACTTGTTAGACCCCAAACTTTGTCTAATGGGCACAATTTTTTTTTTAAAAGTGCCCTAATATCCATAATACAGTAGAACCTCGATAAGTCCAAGAGAAACACAAAATATTTTAAGTTATAGAGGTTTTGAGCTTTGATGGGAAGGGAACATATTATTTTTTGAAGTTATAGAGGTTTTTAAGTTTCCGAGGTTTGAGTTATCGAGGTTCTACTGTATCAGGACTTTGTATAAATCTTCGTAAGCTATAAAATCGTCTAGAATTCATAATTGCAAAAGTAAATGATATTTTAAGGTGGGCCGTGCTACTTTTTCCACGCCGATGAGTTGAAATGTTTTAATCGTGGGCAGCGAGCGTGTTCGGAAGAAATGAGACAAGACGTCTGACCCCAAAATAAAGTTAATTAGGCGGTTATGAAAGGTCGCTACAGCGCAAGACTAAAGAAAATTGGGTTATTACAAAAAGTAGGCTCTTTTTAATTACAGCGTACCAAATAAAAAGATAAAATACTAGACAGGGGTATGCAGGTTTACGTACCGTTGCGTTTCATTTCAATGTATTTTTAGAAACGAAGTTTTTTTTCACAGTAAAGCTCCTAGTAACATAGTCAAATTTCCACTTTTGCGAATATTCCAGTAATGTGCCGCGAAGATGGAAGTCACTACCAAATGTTGTACCAAAAACTCCCAAAAGTCAACAACTGAATGGGGATTTCTAAACGTTTCACTTTACAGATAGTAATTCATAATGGCTGCGAGTTTATAGCATTAGTTTGGGCACGCCGATCGTTTTTAGTTTATTACGTACTCGTGGCCGAAGCTCGTTTTATTTGACATCGTTCACTGTTTCTAAAGTCGTGAAAATTTAACAAGGACTTTACGACTTCTTCGTTAAGACATATCGATATTAACATTTGAAGCCCTGGATCTTCCAGAGCTCTAA